TGGAGAGCCAAAGATAATTCTGTTTATATTGAATTACCTTTGGCTTTCCACTCCCATTTTTTGTTTAAGAATGGTTTCTTTTCCTGACAATATTGGTTTCTGATGTAGTATTCAGCTAACACACGCACACACACACACACACACACACACACACATTTTATATTTAAAAAACTGTAAGAGATTTTAAGTCATGTGGAAGAAAAAACAAAAAATTAAATTTAAAATTAGTGTCTTTTTAAGTCCTTAAAGGTATTAAATCAATTGACATCTGAAAGTTACAATGCAGTGAAACATACACTTCATCCCACATTTCACTTATAAATTACTGCTTGTTGTTAACTTCATAGCATCCAAGTCCTTTAGCAGCAGAATCTTAGAGGAACTTACATAGATAACCAGGAAAGCCACTGAAAGGTTGGCCATATATTACAGCAGACCTAGGACAGCCTTAATTTTGGCCCAAAATATTGGTCTAATTTTAATCTCACTTCATTTTAAGAAGTTTCCTGACTTAGACTATGAATTATTTGATCACCCTAGTTGTGAACAGCAAAGCAAACACTTGTGTTGCAGATGGAATAATATTCTTCCAAATAAGGAGATCATTTTTTCTTTCCTTCTTGACTGAGTAGCCAAGCTTTTTGTGAGTCTACCTTGTGGTAGGGCACAGAGACAGAACTGGGGAAGACAGGAGATCAGAGTCCCAAGATTAAGTTTCTCAAGCCCTGAACTGATGGGAGTACAGTAATAGAAAAAACTAATGAAATTTACTATGAATGCCAATGTTTCCTTATCAGTGATAAGATTGATGAAATATAGGACAGCCACTCTTCATGGGATCCAGATTGTAAAATCTCACTAGCAAACAGAATTAGAAACTGCTTGAAGGATTCCAGGAATCAGTGATAAATCAGTGATTAGTCAGTGATAATCAGTGAAAAGACGTAGTCACCAAGGAATCAATGACATATGTAAGGGAGAGAAGTTAGGGGACTGGAAAGCCAAGTTGGATGGGTTCTAAGCAGGCAAGCAGCTTGATGAGAATGAAGACCTCTACCCTCCATGTGGGTGGGCTGACATCAATCTCCATCCTGCCTCTGGAACTGATGGGTGGATCAGTCTTGGATGCACTACTAACCACTGTGCCTTGTTTTGCCAACTGTGAAATGAGAAGCATCAAGCCTTTCTCTTACTATGTCACCAAAAAAGATATGCCTTTTCTTTCAAATGAAAATTTTATTTTACAATTTATTTCAAGCCCGAAGTTTCTGAAAGAGCGGGAGAAAATCTGTGTTCCTTGTATATTTATGGACCATTTTCTTAGACTCTCCCATGGCTATACTCAAAGTTACCCCTATTTATCACAAAGAAATTCCATAATTGTTTTGTATTTTTATCTTAAAACCCACGATTTAGGCTTTGGGGTGTAGCTCAGTGGTAAAGCATGTGCTTAGCCTGTGCAAGGTCCTAGGTTTGATCAGTCTAGGGAGCATGTGGGCACATGCATGTGCACACGCACACAATTCATGATTTGGATTTAGATGACACATGTGGACCCATACAACTGAATGAAACTGGTGTTTATTTATGTGGCTTCACAAATGCATCTGTATAAGAAAAAAATCTTATTGGACCCTTGAAAGTAAAAGTCTCAACTCATTTTTAGAATGTTTGCATAAACACAGGCAACATTAGAGGAACTAACTGGTCTCGAATGCCAGAAGTCAGCAATATAAAAAAGTACTATTTATTTTTAAAAGGCAAGCATAATAGGTTTCTGAAATCAGCTTCATATGGAATTTCAGTACCTACAGACCAAAGTTGGAGAATTTTTAAACATGCAAAATATTCTTTGTAACTTTATTTTCTAAGGTACAAGATCTTTTTGCTCCTGTCCCCAGTCCTACCAATCAACATAGAGTCCTATGGTCAAGAGCTTTGCTCTTCAAAGTGGGATTCCAGATCCACAGCATGGACACTGCCTGGGAGCCTGTTAGCAATGCAGAGCCTCGGGCTTTGCTCCCGAGCTATGGCATCAGAATCTGCATTTTAACAAGCTCTCCTGTTGATTTTTTTTTTCTCCAGTTGACTTTTAAGCACACGTCTGAGGAGTACTCCATTAGAGGACACTTAGCTAGAAAGAGAAGAGATAATTAAAACAACTTAGAGAAGTGTAAACTGCCTTGTGCTTGCCTCCAAAAGGAGAAATTATATTCTCTCCCCTCTATGTACACACTGATACCAATCTGTCTTTTCTTACTGTTTGTTCTTATATATTTATCATTAACTTTGTCTATGAGAGTTACATTGTCATGCTTAAACTTTATGATTGTTATTACTTGGCAAAATTTCAAATTATTGCTTTGCAAAATTTCAAACTTCCCCTAACATACTTCGCTATCAAACCTACAGTGCATTCTATACATACAGCCTATATCTCCTTCCTTTTCTTTGACATTTCTTCTTTAAAGCAGACATAATGTGAAATAGAAGAATGGTTCGGCTGATTCTGGGACTGCAGGCATGGACCAATGCCAGCCAGAATTGGACGAATGATACTAGGGGTGAAGAGGGGCCCAGGAGCTTCATTAGCAAAAGGAAGGGCATGTTTTAGTCATGGGTAATGTGAACTCTACAGCAACATGAGCTACAGCTGGTGAGAATATTCATTTTAATTTCCTTTGAGGATCAAGTATGGCATACTTTTAGCTAATAGTGCTTTCCAGAAGAATCATCAATGGAAGCAGATGGTTACGATTTTTTTCCCTATGGCATTTCTATCTACACATTAAAAGCCTCTTCACAATTAAAATTAAAGTGAAGGATATGGTTAGATCTTGATTGAAGAAGATAGAGGAGATGTAATAGTGCACTCACAGCATAGACATAACAAAACCTTTAGGATCACAAAGACATACTAGAATTTAAATCCCACATTGGTCACTACAAAATATAAACTTGACCACATGACTTGACCTCTCTGAGACTCAAGATTTTTTATTTGTAAAATGGGAATTATGATATTTTTGTTGAGGCATTGTTTTGGGGACTCAAATGAGATAATGAATTTATAAACTGTACCAGAGGACTTGACATTTAATCACTCAATGCATAGTAAATATGTTCTTTTAACCTTTTTTGCCTATTCTGAATCAGTGGGCAGGATTATTTTATATGATTGCCTAAATAACCTGTCACTGCTGTGATTGAGGACCAAATAGGTAAAATATAATCTAAACATAGAAGTATTATAAAACAATGTTTACACAGTGTTATTTGTGCAGATTATACTGCTGTGCTGTGTTAAGGACTAACCAGTTTGAATGATTATTGTTTGGTATGGTTCTGGAATTCCTTTGTAGCTTCCAAAAGGTGAAAATTATACCAATCTTCAAATTTTTTTTTAATATTTAAGAAGGTCCTTTCCTTTCTACTGTCTTACTTTTAAAGACTATGTAGGAAGTATCTCTAGAAAGGAAAATGTTACTAAAATACATGCAGGATTTTCATTTTTCTATAAATAGCACTATTATCTCAACATTCAGGCATTAATTTAATATTTAACTCCTCATTGCCAAATACTAAGCTAGGTGCTAAGAAGACAGAAATCAAGCAAAGAGCCAAAACCCCCACAAATTTTGGTAAGAATACCCAAAAAGAGAAAGGACAGTATCACAGTGCAGAGTCAAGTGTAGCATAGCAACATTTAAGTAAATGGTAGTATTGTGGTTAAAACTAAAATGTCCCCCAAAATTCTCATGTATTTTGGAAGGTGACTGGATCATAGGGGCACTATATTCATCAATAGGTTATCCACTGAGTTCAGTAGCTAAATTTGCTATTAGGAGGTGGGGCATGGTTGGAGGTGGGTCACTGGGGAAGTTAGTTGGAAGTGTTTTTTCTAGTTCCTGGTTCCTTCCTTCTCTCTCTGCTTCCTGGCTGCCATGGGTCAAACACCTTTCCTCCCTGTGTCCCTCTGCAATCCTGTTTCTGGCTTGGATCCAGCTGATCTTGGACTGAAATTGCAAGCCCAAACAAACTTTTCCTCCTTTAAATTGTGGGTGTTGAGTATTTTGTCGCAGTCATGGGAAAGTAAATGAGACAGATGGAATGCAAATACAACAATGGTCCCATGTAGCTTGGGTGTAGTACACTGTACCACCTAGGTTTGTGTGAGGCAGGAGTTTAGGGCATGGCAGACTGGATGAAAATAGGATGTAACCTGAGCTGGAACAGAAGCTGATCAACAAGATGTAACTGTCAATCACATCCAGGAGTTGTGCCCAGAACAACTTCCAGCTGACAGCATCTGGGAAGGTACAAAAAACTGCAGCCATTGACTCACTGTCTCTGCCATCTCGCTGTTCTGCTGTCCTCTAGTTTCTGCAGTGGATCATTCTGCTTGTGGGATGTTACCTCTTCTTGATCTTCTCTTTTCTTCACTCTTTCCTTTTCTTCTTCTATTCTAAATAAAAGTTACATGTACCTGTTCATCGGCTGTCCTGGACAATTCTTTGGGTAGGACAGAAAGAGCCTGGAATCACCAGACACCACATTGTCTTGCAACATAAGTATATTCTATGGTTTTCATGCAATGATGCGATCCTCTAACATTGAATTTCTCAGAATGTATGCCTTTTGTTAACCAGATTCAGAACTGTAACTTCTTTCTAGAACCTCAGACTTTCTATTTGGAAATAAAGCATCTCCCTTCACTTTACACAAGTTTATTTTCTGTTCATCTCTCATCCTTTAAAAATTTTCAGGTTTTCATTCATTTATTTTTCTTGCTGTTTGGGTTGCTTGATTTCATTTAGCTTTCTTAATTATAATAAATCTTTTACAATTGTTTTCTTCTATAATACAACTCATCTTGTGAATTTGAATTATATGGAATTCTTTTTGTGAGAAAGGAAGAATCATGACTAAATTTTAGCTACTGTTTTCCTATTTCCTATTTATTTTCCTTTTTTCCTTTTTTTATTTTTTTCTATTTATAGGGGAAGAAAGCAGGATCATAATCCAAGGCCAAAGAGGACTTTGTTTACAGCTGCCCTGACCATATTCACAGGCAGTTTGCTTGCTCAAGGTATGAGTTTGTAAGAATGACAGACGATATTGCAGTAGATGACTGACTACTCGCTCATCTTTGTATCTGTATTCTCTGAAGATTCCCATTAAGAGATGGAACTTATTTCTCACCTTCTAAATCTTGCCTTGTTTTAGCCAACAGAATGAGGAAGTGAATATTATGTCATTTCTGAGCCTTGACTTCAAAAGGCCTTGTGTTAATCCTGCCCAGCTGGTAAATGAATACGTGTGGCCAAGTGGCCTCCTGTCTATAGTGACAGCCAGACCACTGGGGAGATATAAGGGAAGCCATACTAGACCAACAAGGACTCAGGGCCAGCCAACTGCCTTTGATGAGCAAGTCTGGCCCAAACTGGATCATGTGAGCACAGCTATACAGCTGAAGAGTGAATTCAGCAATGAGAAGAAATCCTCATTATTTTATACTTCTGTGTTGAAGGTACTATTTGTTATGGAGCATTAACTTATGGCTATAAATATTTATTATTTGAATGACTTCATAATTTACTAAGGTGACACCATTTTTCATTTCCCCCATCTCCTTTCAGTATGAATTTCATCCTTAGTAAAACAATTCTATTATTTTATCCTTTGGTAAGCAAAATCTGAAAGCAATGATGTGTTGGTAAATGTTTCATAATAAAGCTTTTAGTGAAAAAACTGTATGCTAGTGTTTATATACATATACAAGTATTGTAAGTTTTATATATATAAAGTATATAAGAACACAATTTATAAGTAACTAACTATACAATACTCTTGTAAATTTACTTATGCAATCAATTCTCACAGACTGCTTCTGTTAAGCTTTTCAGAAGTCATGCATGCACAGCCAACTTGTGGCTGCAAAGCATCCATGATTTTGCTACTAGAGTTCCAGGCCAAAAAGCCCTGGCTTCTGGGGTCACAATGATCTAGGCTCAGCCCCCTTGTTCTAGAATATCAATCAAGGAGACAAGCAGTGGTGCAGGGTAGGAAAGGAGCTTCAATCACCATGGACATGCTGAGAATGACAGATAAAGAAATTCAAGATCTGTTTCTGAGGGACTGACAGAAACTCTGGAGTTTTATAGAAAAAGGAAACAGAGGCAAGTGTTGGAAGTTTACACAGGTGGCAACATAAGGAATCCTGGTCAAGCTGGGGACCTATTAATAGCCCTCAAGAGAGTCATCACTACTTGAGGGTATAATTTAGTTCCCATCCTGACATGATGGTTCCTGCTTAAGGTGTTAGCTTTGGTTCCTGTCATGGAATAATTGCTGCTACTTGGAGGAGGTGACCTTATCCTGAGGTGGTCTGTGGGGCTCTGCTTTTCTTCAGGGCTCTGCTTTTCCTGAAATCCAAGATGACTTCAAGTTTTGAACAATGACTGGTGACATCCAGGCATCAATCCAGAGGGATGTGGAACTGGACAGTTATAAAACCTGGCAATTGGATTGTCCCTGCAGATCTTGAAAATTACTTTAGTTACTTTTACCTTGGTTTCTTCACTCTTGAAGGGGAATGAGATAAACTAGGTAAATTTAGGGCTAAAAAGCCTTTACTAGTTTTTAGTGAGACACTACTTAAGTGACTAACATGCTCACATGCAGGGCTGAGCAAGGATCTGACTTAAAGTTATACGCTAATAAAGAAGACAAACATAAAATGAAAACAAAGATGACAAGCTTTACTAGCTTTTAGTTACCCATTGGGAATCTGCAGGCCCTGCCTGTAAGTCCCTGTTATAACATTACAAATGAAATTACAATCCAATTTGCTCTTTATTTTCCCAATAATGTTTTGCTACTAAATGTGATACACGATTTACTGTTGAAATATTTCTTACTGTTGTTCAAAGTTGCATTCACTAAATTGAAACCATTTTTTGGCTTCAATATTAGATGCAATGCAGTTATTAGTTTAATTTGCATTATTAAGTTTTTTGTTACTTCCTTTAGTCTCAACAATCAACAGAACAACAAATCAAGTCCCAATTTGAAGTGTCAGCTACTCTCTGAGGTGAAACTTGGCCATTATGGTCATTTTCGACTCGCTGGGGCAATGTCATGAACATAGAATTGGAAAGAGATGCATACTATCACTGCAGAGGTAAAATCAAATTACCTCTTAAGGGCATGGATGACATTTAAATTTAATAAAATTCTGGGAAGCAATGAGTTTTGAATGTTTATGACTTTAATTTGTGTGTGTGAGTGTGTTGCTGGGGACTAAACCTAGGGCATTGCATACCCTAGGCAAATGTCTTATTATGGAGTTTCATCTCCCTGACTTTTATTTTTAATATAATTTATTGAATTCAATGATTTTATAATTTGTTTTTAGTTTTTGGTACTGGGGTTTGAACCCAGGGTCTTTGCATTGAGTGGTATTTCCAGTTTTTTAAAAATTTAAATTTAAATTTTTAATTTTGAGACAGGGTCTCAGTCCTTAAATTCCTCCATCTGGGCCTGAGTTTGTGATCCTCTTGCTTCAGGCTTCCAGAATGCTACAATTACAGGTGTGTACCACCATATCCAGTTTATATAATTCATTTTAAAATGATGGGCATGTTTAGCAACTGGCCTGCTAAATTCCTACAGATACTGACAATTAGATGAGCTGCTCCAGTACAGTTCCATTGAAGGATGTTAAAAACACCTGATGTTTCTAGTTGTAATAATAGTAGCTCCCATGCATTTCGTATTCGCTAGATCCCAGGTACAATTTTAAATACTGAGGTGACATAAAAGAGTTGAAAGGGAAGATGGGAATTTATAAGGTATAAATGTATGCACAAAAGTTGTAGAACAGTGGTCGGGAGACATCTTGATGATTCCAAAAAGAGGCGATTTTTAGAAACTGAATATGAATGTGAAAGAGACTATCCTTCTTAAGAAAGCTCCCAAGGGAAATCATGTCAATTGGAAACATTTGCCCACATATTGCCAGTAGCTCCAGAATTCTATATAGAATGGATTCAGAGGCAACAGTATAACTGGAAGGCAAATTGTGGATTCCTATAGAACCTAAATTTGCATAGCAAGCTATGTCTTTACTTCAGATACATGTTTCAGGTCAATAAAAATAGTTTTCTAGAGTATCTTATATTCAGACTAGTTAAACTTTTAAAAGCATCAACTTTCTAGCGATTATTATATTATTATATTGATATAGCTATGAGATAATTGATGGAAATTCTGGGGCTAACTACCAATCCCCATTGACCCCTAAGTGCCATTGGAACAAGGGTATGACTGCCCTTACTGTACTGTAGTTGTGTGGCAGAAATGAGAACATGATGCTGACAACACAACCACCTGACCACTTTACCTATCTCCTTTCCTTTTGCATAGTGTTAGTTTCCTTTGACTGAATCTTTCCAAAGTCTTTTGCAAAGCAAAAATTACTCAAGGAAACATAATGAATATGATTTAGCATCCACAAAATTGGCTCTTTGGGTTGATTTTAGGTTCACTGCATTTCTCATCTTTTAGTCTTATGTTCTTTTTCAACAAATTTCAATTTTCTTTGAAATAGTGGTGATGAAGATATTCATGGAACTCCAGGACACATGACTCTATAACTCAGTTCTTAGTGTTAGACTGTCTTTCTGAATGTCCTTGGTGGAGATGATTATCCACATGTGAGGTACCACTGAAGGGTTGGCTGGTACCGGGAAATGTATCTGAAAATTATATATAATAACCCTTGAAATTAATGTATATAATACTGTTGTGCCTTATTAAAATAAGACCCACCAGTCAATTATAGAAAATTTGGGAAATCAATTGATGTAATTGTTGAGCTCCTACTATGAAAGACACTTTGATAACTGCTGAGATGAATAAAAACATATGCAAAATCTCTATCCCTTCTCTTAGAGCTGTTGCAGACTAACTGTGGAGAAAAGAAACAGTCACAGGAAACTGGAAATAAGTAAGTAAATAGAGTAGCAAAGGACAGTTACTGCTCAGAAATTGAAGAAATTTTTATGGGATGGGGGCTTGGGAATGGTGTCACTGGGATGACAACCGAGAATTGTTCTATTTTAGTATATGTGCTGCCGAAGCAAGCACCTGAGAATTGTTCTAAAGGATAAATGGAATTTTATAAGGTTATATGAAAGAAGAGTGCAGTACATGAAGTACACAAAGATAATTTGGCTCCAGGGTTAATGAACTTTATCCTGTGGCCAATGGAAAGCAACTGAAAATTTTTCTTACAGAAATATTGAAGTGATAGCTGATATAGACAAAATGAGTAGTACTAGAGTGCAGTCTCTTTGATGTTTGGCTCTGCCATGTATTTAGTCAAAACACTGGCAAGTTACTAATTGGTTTAAATTTAAAATTTTCACCACCACAACAAAAAGTAATCATGCCATCTTTTTCATCATATTTTTTGTGACAAGTGAAATATAACAGCAAAACACTTGATGTATAATGCCTGGACTGAAGAAAGTTATAATGAAAACAGTGATCATAATTATATTGTTGACAGCAAAGATTTGAACCAAATGATGGGAGTAGGAATGAAACTGAATGGGAGGAAAAATGAATTAGCAAGATGAGGGTGAATGTAGGAAGCCAAAGGGAAGGTAGTATCAGAGTGGACTAAGATTTAAAGGCTAAGAAAGAGATGCTATCAGTAATGTTCATGCAAAACAGAGGCGACAGGTGAGAGGAAAGTGATTTTTCTAGTACAAGTCCGTGTCTCTGGGAAGTGCCTTGTACTCTCCATCATATCTTGTCAGACACATGATAATGCGGCAAAGTTACATAAAAATCTTGGAGACCAGACTGGGCAAGACTGGTGATGAAGGTAGTATCAACAGTGGGCATTCATGATAGCACCCATCACCGCCTTCCTGGTCAGTTCTGGAAAGTGAGCGGTTAGTGTTGGCAAAAACATTACCAAAGGATGGGGATATGGCTAAATTTTCAATGATGTCAAGGAGTCTCCTGGGATTTTTAAGGACCTACCTAGTAGTACCTAGTAGTAGAATTTCAATGCACGATGATTTTCCAGAAGAACTAGACAATTGGAACCAAATGGAGTAAAATAAAAGAAGATTATGTATTGGAAGGTGTGGCTGAATAATGGACAAGGAGAGAAAAGGAAAAGTAAAACAAAAAAACAGAGTGAAAGTGAAGCATTACAAAAGGAACTGAGTCATGAAGGAAGGCATGAGCCTAGATCAGGAACTGGAATAGATCAGCAATGCACGATCAATAATTCAAGGCAAAAGGCTTCTCTTTGGCTTCTTCTAAAATTTCATTATTTTACTAAATATTCAATATATCAAAAATATTTTTGAAATTTGTATAAGGTATAGTAAAAATAACATAGACATATTCAGTTTTTATGGAGTCTAAATGTTTACACAATTAATGAGAATTTCTTTAAAAACATCAAAAGTCACGAATAACAAATTAGATTTAACAATGGAAATTTCATTAGAATTGAAAAAAATTACAAACTTTAAAAAAGCAGAAAATTACTATAAAGTTTACAAAATTCAGATAAATATATTTGTTTAGTTATTTACTTTTGCTCTAT